AAAGCGTTCATTTATATTTTGAAACTACAATGTAATAATTATAATACAGTTACTAAATGTATTAGTTGAGTACTATCAGTGAGAAGTATGAAGCTGTTTATTTTTAACTAGGAACTCCAAGTTTGCTGGAAAGGACGTTAATTTTATTCTTAAGTTCGGTTCAACTTCCAACCGATTCCTGTATTTATTCTTCAGGAACACGAGTGTTGAAAATCCTGCTTCACACTTATAGGTCGTGACAAAAGGCATTAGAAATTTTATCGCTTGTTCTGCTACAACTGGGTATTCTTTACGACAAGATAACCAAAAATCTATTAATGGCCGTTCCTTATATATGTCTTTGAGTGCCGTGTCACACTAGAGTTCAATTAATGATTCAACATTTAAGTCCGAAAAAGTTGTTTCAATATTGATTGAAAATGGGTAAAATTGGATAAAAGTGGTCGATGGTATTGAAAGCGTTGTAGTCATAGAATGTGACAATGAGACTAGGTTCACTGTTGATGAGCCTATTAACGACGTGGTTGTCCGTGATTTAAGTAATCCATATTTAGAATTGGATATTCTTTAATTCCTAATTTGTCTAGAACCCGTTTGTCTGACTCCCCATTCCATGACACGATCACGTTTTTCTGTTCCCCGTGGTTTATGTAATTTTCTACGTATGCTTTATTTTTTTTTCCGAAAAAATTTCTTCGACTTAGGGCTTCCTGTTGCTGCAGAGAAGACTTCCGACTGCGCCAAATTGTAGTGGTCCAGCCCACAGATTGTGGTGTACAAGATGAATGACAAGGTGTAAAAAATTCTAAGTCAATTTTAGCTTATTATGAACATAGACTTTATTTTAACATGTAAAACTGATAGAATATTTTTGATACACAGAAATTTATCAGAGAGTCGACTGGCGTGAAGGTGCTCGTACTGGCTCTGGTAAATCACGTCTGAATATTGGGTGGCTGGGTCCCTGTTTTATAGGCCTATTCTCCACTCTTCTCCTAGCGATAAGATAGCGCTGACCCCGTTTACTATGGCACGTTGTGCGTAGGTTTCAAGGAAACGGTCGCCCGGTTGTGGCGGTCGAAATATTAGATATATTATCTCACGGATATTTAATATAATAGAGTAATATTATTGTTCGCGCCAAGCAATTAGCGCGTCGTGGTGTGCAATTACGCACGGCGACGATGACCTGCTCCTATCAGCTCCCTCTCCATTTATACACCTCTCATTCCGTTAATTGTCAAATATTCTTATTGTTATTATTATTTAATCTCTTTGTGTTTATTGTCACCTAGTACCTACTATCGGTTGACCCGTTGCCGTATAGAATTATTGTATTATCTTTTTTGTTATTGTTTACATTCTGCGGCCAACGCCCTTTTTATCATTATTATTGTTTTTTTTGTTTTTATCAACTACTTGTTGTGTTCACACGTATATTTGTTTTTTCTTTTCCGCTATTGTAGCATATATATTTATATTGTTTTTTACTAAGTCGCATTGTGCGCACCCGTCTTTTACGGTTTTTGTGTATTCGTATGTCTACTATTGTTCCGCTATTGAAGCGTTTACCTATATATATTGTCTTTTAGTAAATCGCATTGTGCGCACCCGTTGCTTACGTGGATTACTACAATAAATTATACTCATGAGGGCGCATTGGGCGACCCGTCAGAAATAAACCTGTAACAACAAATTAATCGTGAGTACCTACTTTATTACCCAAATTCTTTCCACTACCGTCGTCCACGTCTCCGTCAAAGACAGTGCCGCAGCGTAAGACCGCCAGCAACATAATATCTGTTGTGTGAGAGGCCGCCTAGGACGTCCAGATCACCTTCTCAAGACGTCGACAGTGCCGCAGCGTAAGACCGCCAGCAACATAATATCTGTTGTGTGAGAGGCCGCCTAGGACGTCCAGATCACCTTCTCAAGACTTCAGTAGGTTAAGTTAGTGGTTAAGTCTTATCCTGTTTTGTTGTGAGCTCTGTGGTCATTGCACCAAACGACTCGACCACAGAGACACCCTCCCCATAACTAACTTGCATCATCCTCCTTCCTCGTTAGGTCACTCCCTTCCCTGCCGTTGTTGTCGACGTGCGTAGAATTGCCTACCCGTCTCACTGTCAGGCGCGAGTCCATATAGTTGCCTACCCAGGGACATATGCGACGTTAGTGGGGACATTGGCCAAACATTAATATAATAAATTGTGCTCGGGCATCACCGAGTGGTCCTTCGGGTCGTCCCTGTTCAGGGCGCACACATTTTTTGGTCCTTCGAGCCGGATTAGATTAATACAAACCGCGATGATTATTATTATTAAACCACAGTTCTTTGTACATGACCAGTTTGTCGTCGTTGATATTATTCTGGTTATAACTTTTGTAGTACCTACATCTTTAATTCTGTACTGTCACTGAGTAACTAGATTTTATTGAGAATTCTATGCTGTAGGCCGTGCACGTACTTGTTTTTCACGAGAATTATCTCTTTTTAATAGTCCTGCACCTGTGTCAATAAATTCTGATCACAATGTCGGACGTTATTTACAATGACGCAAAATCGCGTATTCTTCGGTGCATTACCAAATTAAAAACTTTTGCGCAAGCTTCTATCGATTACAATAACGAGCGTGGAAGTGCTGGTAAACGAGCAAAGATTGCAAAGATGATTACTGAGCTTACCCCTCTTCGTAATGCAGTTGAAGACGATGTCCAACGAATGGAATCAGCTGTGAATTCGCATACAGCCCCTGCTGCGATAACGGATACTAGTGAAAGTCAGGCCCTTATTACGTCATTCGACAGTCTTTACTATGAGTTGGCCGCCTTTGCTGATGTTCACAAATTTAACATGTCACCTGCGATGGACACAGCTTCGGCTTCATTTTCAAACCAAACCAATTGTTCACATAATTTATCAGCTTTTCAGTTACCAAAACGTAAATTCCCTACATTCTCGGGCGTGTTGACGGAATGGCAAAGCTTTGAGGATTTATTCACATCAATACTTTCACACGCTCCTGAACTGCCAGACGTTGAACGTTTTGAGTTTCTAAAAATGTCTCTCACGGGTGAAGCTCTAGCCCTTGTGTCGCATCTCACGTTAACCGCTACTAACTATACAAGTGCTTGGACAATCTTGCGGTCCCGATACGGCAACAAACGCGATCTCGCCCGTGTTCACCTAGATTCTCTGCTTGCTCCACAGATAGTTAAATCGAATGATGCTACCTCTATTAAAGAGCAAATTAACACAATATTAGAGAACACAGCTGCGTTGGGCAACCTTGATTTTGTAACCCGTCAATGGAGTCCTCTTCTGGTGCATCTTTTTGAGAAGCATTTAGATTACGAATTACGTGCTCGGTGGGAACAGGTCGTTGGGGATAATTATTATCCTCAAGTCTCTGAATTTGTGGAATTCTTGCGTAGCCATTTGCGTTCTGCGGACATATATTCCAGTTCTGTTTCAGTTACCCGACCAGATGAAGTTTCAAAACCCCAACGGTCTTTCAAGCAACAAAGCTTTAAACCTCGCTCGTCAGGTCCATCCACAGTCTTAGCTGCAACGACCAGTAAGGTGTCTGAAAAACCTTGCCCACTATGTAATTCACTCCATTCGATCAGATCATGTAAACTATTTACTGATCAGCCTCCGAGTGAGCGCTTCCGTCTTGCCAAAGGCCATCGTTTGTGTATAAATTGTCTGGGGTCCGGGCACTCTTCAATGAATTGCAATTCGAAATATAAATGTCAGTCATGTAAGAAAGCTCATCATTCACTGTTGCATTTTACTCCGACTGCTAGTCCATCAACTACGTTAGGCCCAGGATCATCAACTACTCTGTCCACTAATACGGCAGAGCATCTGTCTTCGGCTGGGTCACATGTTGCGACTACATCGTGTCTTGTTAGAGAACAACCGCAGAAAATCGTTCTATTGTCCACAGCAATCGTTGAAGTCTATGCTGCCGATGGGCGACGACACGCTCTAAGAGCTTTGTTAGACAGTGGGTCCCAAGCTAGTTTTATCACTGAGAGAGCAGTGTGTGCTCTTATGCTTCGTCGTTTCCATTCGTCTGTCAGCGTTACTACGTTTGCTAGTTCAGCCTCTACCGTTGTTCGAGGCAAATGCAATATTAAGATTGTTCCCTCTGGTCAACAAGCACCTTCATTTTGTTTAGATGTATCAATAGTTCCTCAAATAACTGGACCAACCCCTCAAACTCCAATCACACCAGGACAATGGGCCCATATGAGTAGTTTATCGTTGGCAGACCCGTCATATAATATACCCGGTCCAATTGATTTACTATTCGGTGCCGATCTGTTTCCTTCGGTTCTCCTTGATGGCACGCAGAAGGGTCAACCAGGTGAGCCCCTCGCGTTGAACACTGTGTTCGGATGGGTTCTTATGGGACCAACAGAATTTTACGACGGCTCGTCTGTAACTACATTGTGTTTGAATGTCTCTGATCCTATTGATTCACTAATTAAAAAATTTTGGGAACTTGAAGAATTACCCACCACTTGCCATTTGAGTCCTGCTGATATTGCTGCTGAAAAAATATACACCTCAACTACGACGCGGCTAAGTTCAGGCAGATTTGTCGTCACGCTTCCGTTTCTGAAACCACGTCCACTGCTTGGTGACTCAAAACCGTTAGCTCTCCAACGGTTCAAGGCCCTCGAATGTCGGCTCGCCCGCAATAAAGATCTGCAAACTCAATACGCTGAGTTCATGCACGACTACCTGACAGCTGGACATATGGAATTGATTCCGCCATCTGAACTTGGAAATCCATATCATTATTACATCCCGCACCATTGCGTGCTAAAACCCGATAGTCTTACTACCAAATTGAGAGTGGTATTCAATGCTTCTGCGAAAACTTCAGCTGGCATCTCGCTGAACGAAAGTATGCACACAGGTCCGAAATTGCAACCGGATATTCAAGTCGTATTGCTTCGATCTCGACTTTGGAAGTACCTCTTTACAGCTGATATCAAACAAATGTATCGCCAAATTCTAATCCGGCCCTCTGATCGAGATTATTTGCGGATCCTGTGGAGATTTTCGTCTCAGTCTCAAATTGATGAGTACCGATTATGTACTGTAACATACGGGACCTCTGCCGCTCCCTATCAAGCACTGCGCACTGTCCGTGAATTGGCTATTGTCGATGGTGCCACCTGGCCGCTAGCAGCGTCTGTGTTATTAAACGACACATTTGTTGACGATGTACTCACTGGAGCCAATACGATTGAAGATGCTCTTGAGTGCCAATCTCAACTCATAAGTTTGTGTGCCATGGCGCAGTTTCAATTGCGAAAATGGGCCAGTAATAATAGTCAAATTTTACAAACCGTGGCTGAAGAGGACCGTGCCATTTCTCCCTCTGTTCTACTGGACACCAGTGAACAATCAGATTTAAAGGTGCTCGGTCTAAAGTGGGACCCATTAGCAGACACTTTCTCATTTAACGCTAATCCTTCGACTACCAAGCCAACAAAACGTACGGTCCTATCGGAAATTGCTAGGATTTTTGATCCGTTAGGTTTGCTATCTCCTACCACCTTCTGGACGAAATACCTTATGCAACAGCTGTGGACGTCAGGTGTTTCGTGGGATGATCCAATCCCAGTTAACATTAGTGATGCTTGGTTACGATATCAATCAGAGCTGCTCATGATTGAACACCTCTGTATTCCACGACGTCTCACACATGATAATATGATAAACGTTCAACTGCATGCGTTCTCCGACAGTTCGGAGAAAGGGTACGCAGCAGCAGTCTATCTTCGTGTTGAAACTGCTACGGTCATACATTGCCAACTTATAACCGGAAAGTCCAAGGTTGCTCCCCTCAAGAAGTCTACGATCCCTCGGCTTGAGTTGTGTGGAGCTCTGCTTGCTGCGAGGTTACTCCACTTGGTAACAACCACATACACCGATCGCGTAAAAATTGATGAACTGCACGCGTGGACTGATTCCACAACCACTTTAGTTTGGATCCAATCGTCGCCACACCGTTGGGCCACGTTTGTTGCCAACCGTACTAGTCAGATACAAGACCTAACAACCCCATCAATTTGGCACCACGTCCCCACGCAGGATAATCCAGTCGACTGTGCTTCTCGTGGTCTGTTCCTTTCAGAACTTGTTGACCATCCCTTGTGGTGGACAGGCCCCCCATTTCTTAAGGAGTCACCTGATAAATGGCCAACAACACCTATCCCTCGAGCGAACAGCAGCACCAACACGACTCATCTTGAAGAAAGAAAGCCAATTGTATTACTCGTCAGTGTTGACTCGTGTTTTATGAATTTACTTGAGCGATTTTCTTCGTTAGACAAAATTCTTCGGATCGTTTCCTATTGTCTCAGGTTCCGGTTTCGTCGTATGACAGATGCAAGGACGGTCAGTGTCAACGCGGAGGAACTCTCGTGGTCACTCCTAGCACTCGTAAAATACGTACAAAAATGTACCTTTCCTGATGATCTATCTCGCTTGAACCAGGGCTCCCCTTGTTCAAAATCCTTGCGTCATTTAGACCCGTTTGTTGACGCCTTTGGTTTAATCAGAGTGGGCGGTCGACTGAATAATGCCGACATACCATATGCTCATAAGCACCCGCTTTTACTGCCCTCTCGAAATCGACTTACTACACTGCTTATTGACCATCATCATGTAAGACTGAAGCATCCAGGCGCACATGCACTGCAAGCATCACTGCAACGAGAATTTTGGATCTTGTCAGCTCGAAAGTCAATTCGGTCTCGGTTACGACAGTGTGTCCCATGTTTCCGCACAAGACCTAGAAATGTACAACCCAAAATGGCAAGCCTTCCATCGTATCGTGTGCAACAAATCAAACCATTTACAAGTACTGGAGTTGATTACGCCGGTCCAATATCACTAAAAGGTTCTCGAGGCCGACGAAGTGCTCCCACCCTAGCATACATATGTTTGTTTGTCTGTACAACTACGAAAGCGTATCATTTGGAGTTGAGCTCGACCTTGTCCACTGAGACTTTCCTGTTGGCGTTTGCCCGCTTTTCAGCTCGCCGCGGTCCAATAAAAGAGATGCACAGTGATTGCGGGACAAACTTTGTTGGAGCTTCAAAACTGTTAACCCCGTTGACACAGCTCACTCACTCATCTGCGTTCCAAAGTCGTGTGCACAGCTACCTAGCTACCAAACATATCAGCTGGTATTTTAACCCACCCTCATCTCCACACTTTGGTGGTTTGTGGGAGGCTGGCGTGAAATCAACGAA